TTTGGTTATGCATGTGTGTAAGCGTGTATGTGTGTGTGTAGTTTATGTTTCGAATTTCGCCGAAAAATCGCCACATGAATTGGCGCTAGTTGTGGTTTTTAGTATTTTTTTTTAACAGTTTTTTGCATTTATAGCAATAAAATTTTATTAAAAAGTTAAGCAAAATGTATATAACTATATTGTCATCTAAGTTAAGTTTAGTCAGTGCTCAGTGTTGTGTACATAAAGTAAGCTATTCAGAAATGCCGCTAATGTTGCGCGTTGTCTAATATTTTCTAACTGTTCTAAACACCAAATGCACAACGGCAACTAAAAGTATTAAACCATTCAAACTAATTTTTTTAGTAATTAAATTTACCGCTTTACTATACTATTTCTGCATTTGTATGTATGTATATATTTTTGTTTATAAAATGCATACGATTTTTATTTAATTGTTTTTTATTTCAGTTATTTTGCTACTTTCAACTAATTTAGTGGATTGCTTTAAATATTTCGCCATTTTTTGTGTGAATGTATTATTTCAATCAAAGAAAATATTGTAACAAATACTAAAATGTCTCAAAAATAATGTAGAATTTCTAATATTGCAATAATATTTAAATGAATATAACAGTATATTTAAAATTTTCAAAAGTCCATGCTTCAAACTCAAAATGCAAATGAATATTAATTACTGAAAATAGTGTGACAGTATATTTGCTTGGCTGAGAAAATTATTGGCACTGAGTTTTCGAAAATGCACAAATTAATTTTCTTAAATTTTAACTTACGAATCGATATATGTATGGTATGGCACTCCAATATGTATAATATTCATAAACTAGCAAAAAATTGTATATGTATTTAAAATAAAATATTTGCTTCTTGATATAAAAACAAGCATCTTCCAGGGCTTCAAAAAAATGCGCGCCAGAATCAGCTGGTTAACAGTTATGTGAGCTGCATGCAATACCTTACAGCTTGTTACATAAGTAGACAGAGAGCTTCAGCAGTTGTGTGTTATTTCCCATTTTGTAAGCCAAATTTTGAAACTACATGTTACTGAAAGAATTTGTAGAGATCTAAATACCCCATGGTACATGAAAAAGTAAAATAGTTTATTAAGTAAATAGATATATGTGAAGAAATTTGTAGAGCTAAGTTGATTTCGTTAAAAAGAGCATATGTATAAAATGCACTAGCTCAGAAATAGAAGCATACAATTGAAGCTAAACTTCTGCCAGGAAGGATGAGAAAAGCTGCAACAAATATCCGCCCAGAGCTTGCTTATACATACTGCTTTGAGCAAAAAATRGTAAGACTTTGTTMATTTTTTTWAAATKACTAATTTATACTTCAAACTCTATGTATGTCGTCCCTTTCCTTTGTACCAACGTTTGTTTCTAATCCTCGAAACAGTTATTGAAGTCAATTTCCGAAATARTCTTCAATGCGCRTAGCGATTCACTTTTAATGTCTTCAATTGCCTCCAAAAGGGCTTCCCCGAAACGTTCATTTGAGCTTGCTGAATAGACAAAAGTCACGCGGAGCTAAATCAGGTGAACACGGTAGTTGCGGCATGAAATTTGTTGAAAATTTGTCAAAACAGTAATGAAATATCAATGCAGTAATATTGACTTTTGACCTGCTTTAAAGTGGATTTTTCGGCTTCGGCTCACCTTTGCATTTGGCCGATTAATCGTAAGCRTAGCTCCAGGACTCATCACCCGTAATAATACGTTTCATGAATCCTGATAGTCGAAAAGCATTGTTTCACAGTCGTTAACGCGACGTTATTTTTCGAAAAAAATTAGTGGTTTTGGCACGAATCGTGCTTTATTTTACTTTTCTTAGACCCAAATGATCTTTCAAAATGGTCTTCACTGATCCTTACGATATTCTAATCAGTAAGATCTCTGACTTTTAGTCGTCGATTCTAAAGCTCCAATTCCTTTATTTTATAGACGTGTTGATCAACTGTTGATAATGATGGACGTCGTGGACGTGGTTCGTCGTCAACTCGTTAGCGATCCCTTTTGAATAATTTTCACCAATCAACAAGACTTACTCCCAACAAACAGTTGTCGTCGAAGGCCTTTCCAACATTTTGAAAGTCGCGGCACCAGAAATTTAATTCCGCACACAAAATTCTATGAAAATTCTTTGTTGAATAATTGAATTCATCATTAAAATCGCCGAATGCACTTTATGTACTTCAGAAAATCAAGCATATACTAGACACTATTGATTATTTTGATGTGACATGTGGCATAGATGTTGCCAAGTTAAAAAAAAATTTTGACGAATGGCTTTTCATGCGAATTAAAAAGTCTTACTATTTTTTGCCAAGTGAGGAAGTTCTCAAGAAGAGGAAAGTTTTCTGATCGACATTCACTTGGGAGTGGCCAGAAACGATTCTTTTACATATGACTCAAGCAGCTCGCGACTTCCGGTCTTTAACCAAGTAACCTCTGGGTAGCCTAAGAACATCCGTTTGAAGGCGAGCTAAAGTGAGAAGGCGAAATATCCCCTACATAGGGTTGTGCGCTGGGCTTGGGAGCTGGCCGATAGGGGTAATGCTCGAAAATTCTACGAAAAAATGCGGCGGCTTACAGAAGGTTTCAAGACCGAATCATACTCTCGTAGAACCCCCAAAGGTGATCTAGTCACCAATGCTCAGAGCATATTTAAACTATGGAGGGAACTGGAGAACCAGCCTGCTGAATGGCAGTGAACGCACAACGCCAGGAGAAGGCGAACTCGATGCCCCAATCGACGACGATGGAGCAGACGTTCCATTGCCCGACCAGGAATAAGTTCGAATAGCAATTACCCGCCTGAAGAACAACAAAGCGTCGGGGGCCGATGGATTGCCGGCCAAGCTATTCAACCATGGCGGCGAAAAACTGATAAGGAGCATGCATCAGCTTCTTTATAAAATATGGTCGGACGAAACCATGTCAAACGAGTGGAATTTAAGTGTGCTATGCCCAATTCTTAAAAAAGGAGACCCCACAATCTGCGCCAACTACCGTGAGCTAAGTCTCCTCAACATTGCATATCGTCTATCGAGCGTATTGTGTGAAAGATTAAAGCTCACCGTCAACAGTGTGGCTTCAGACCTGGAAAATCAACAACCGACCAGATATTCACCATGCGCCAAATCTTGGAAAAGACCCGTTAAAGGAAAATCGACACTCACCACCTCTTCGTCGATTTCAAAGCTGCTTTCGATAGCACGAAAAGGAGCTGCCTTTATGCCGCGATGTCTGAATTCGGTATCCCCGCAAAACTATTACGGCTGTGTAAACTGACGTTGAGCAACATCAAAAGCTCCGTCAGAAGCGTTAAGGACCTACCGAGTTGTTCCATACCAAACTTTTAATTCTATTTTTGACATGCAAAATTTCTCTTGAATTCCAGTAGCCTTTGAAAGCTACGCTACAACTAAGAGGTAGACTTCAGAGTGGAACGAAGCCACCTAACTCACCTAGCCTAGATAATGAAGTATAAGGTGGTGTCTTCTCAGCAAAATTTGATATCAAAATCACCTTCCGACTACTAAAGAAAGTCTACTTACGCTGCCAAAAAAGGGGTGCTTACGATAAGAAATAACTTCGTATATGTAATATGCTAGTAGGAGTGCTAACAGATTACTGTCTAATTGGCAGACGTACCAGTAGACTTGATGTAGAGCAGGTAGCTGAGGAGGAGATTAAAGTGCAAATTCTATGCAAGTGCAGAGCTTTGTATAGGTAAAGAATCACAACACTCCGCTGCGTTTTTTGCAAATGTCTCGGAGCTTGCAAACTTCTGGTAAGATGAACTTCATCAGGCGCACAGAGAGGTTCAGAGAGGACATAATGTAGTAAGGGGATTTTAGTAACGGTGGTTTCACCTTGAGATAGGAAAGACCTATGTGCCTTGCCATACAACCAATCTACTATCTACCAACCTACACAAAAGATTTCTTTGTTTTTGAGCCAAGGTTACTCTTAAAACTTACTATTGGTAAGTGAGAATAACTATACAACTCTTTTGTCGGTAAGCAAGCACGAGTTCTAACGATTTAAGAATTCATAAAAGACTCAATCTAATAGAAAACTCAAAGCTAAGAAGCATGCATAAGATAATTAGAATTAAAGAAACATTATTAAAATAGAATAATGTGTTTTTAAATTGAGAGGAAATTTCTATTTTTAAACAGCTACCTCGTTATGCTGAAATATCATATTCTTAAACTGTCATTTAGTATGATACTAGCTTTTAGCATTTCTCTAGCACTACAATTTATTAAACGCCGAATTCCCTGCTGATGCACGGTTGGGGTTATACATACGCGACTGCGTCAAGTGCTGGTGGTGAGTATGCTTAATGGTGGTATGGTGTGTGTGTGGGCATGTGTGTGCGTGTAGTTATTCATACTTGTAGGTATAAGTCTATGTGGCTGTGTGTGTGTGTGCGTGTGTAGGTGGGCGGTAAGCAATATTACTGGTATTTTGGTTAACAAACAACTTCTTCTTTGCATATTTTGCATGTTTTCGAAAATATTACTTATGAAATGAAAGTAAGGAATGTAATTAATTACATATTTAAGTAAGTGTAAACAAGCACAACGGAAAACATCAACAAGTATATAAATTCAAATATTAATTATATATGTATATATGTAGGCAGTTACATAAAAGAAGCAGTTAAATAAATTTTTCAACGAAATTAGACAATTGCATAATTATTATCGATAACTAATTGTATATATGTAAATATACTAAATATTTGTAAAACATTATGCTCGTTAATAGAATATATTCCATTTTAATATGAATGCGGTCGTATGTAGGCACCGTGTGGTACAGTTAATGCAAATTGTATGGCGAGTTCACATTTCAAAAATGACACAAACAATAATAAAATATCACTTGTTTTCATAAAATGTTATTTCTTTAAACTTTGCATTTTGTTAGCAACGCAGAAATTTTTTTTAAGAAAACCAAATAGGAACTGTCGAGACAACATACCCGTATTCGTTTTACTGTTGCAATAATCAGTCAAGAATTTTTCAAGTGTGAAGCGAGGTAGGTGTAAGTTCTTAACCACTTGCACGGGATCGCCCTCCTTCCACAGGAATACCAGATCGTTTGTTGTCCAACCATCTGTGAAAATTGAAATTCGATTAAACGCTAAGTAAAATACACAAAATTTCAACAGCAGTAGAGAGGATGGTATAAATCCACAAATAATTCAATAATTACTGTAATTAAGGTAGGTGAAAAGTGAGTTAACTTCACTGTGAATCATTAATAGTGCTAAAAATTCGTGAACTTCGTAAACAACATTTGATATTATACATACATCTAAAAGTATATATTATATATAAGTGGTGACATTTATGCCTAAAGGAATTTGCTAGTTTAGCGGTATGAACCTCAAGTAAATTTTGTAATATTGTAAAAGAAATCAATTAATATGTGTAGTCGAAAAAGTCTTTTCGTATTTTATCCATATATGTCGTTGCAGTTGTATAGTATATCTCGAGTGCTACTAATCACTTTGCGTCATATAGTGTTGGAAAGGTGTGATTTTAAGCTTCATTTAACAAAAAAAAAATTTAATTCGGGAAAGTTGTTCAAAAATGAGTGAAAAAATGAAGAAATTCGCTATATTTTGAAAATTTTTTTTTATAAAAAGGGAACAATGCTCCGCAAGCCACCAATAAAATTTTTGAAATTTACGTAGACAATGCTGTATCAGTTCTTGTAGCACAACAATAGTTCGCACGCTTTCGTTCTGGAAATTTCGATGTGAAAGATGCACCTCGCTCTGGTCGAACCATCGTTGGAAAAGTCGCTAAAATTATAGAAACGATCGAAGAGGACCGTCATATAAGCAGCCGTGACATTGCTAAGGAACTGAACACTCATCATCAAACGGTTTTGAGCCATTTATAAAAGGCTGGCTACAAAAATAAGCTTGATATTTGGGCACCACAACAATTGTTTGTGAAAAATTTAATTAACCGAATTAACATCTGCGATTCCTTGCTGAAACGAAAGCAAATCGAACCATTCTGAAGCGAATGATAACCGGAGAGGAATAGACGAGACCCATATGACAATAATGTGCGACAAAGATCATGGTCCAATAAATGGTCGCAAAGCCAGAAGTGACGCCTTGAAAAATTATGCTGAGTGTTCGTGTTAGTGGAAAGGAAACATGCACTATGCGCTGATCCAGCCTGGTCAAACGATTGATTCTAAAATTTTACTGTCAGGAACTGTTGAGATTGAAGCAAGCAATCGAATAAACCGGCCAGAACTGATCAAAAGATTGGGCTACAACTTCCATCAGGACAACGCTAGACCAAACACATCTTTGATGACTCGGCAAAAAATGAAAGAGTTTGACTGAGAAGTTTTGATGCATCCACCATATAGCTCTGACCTTGCACTATCGAAGTACCAGGTTTTTGAAAACAGAAAAGTTTTACACTGATGGATTAATGTCTCTRGCGGAAAAATGGCAAAAAGTGGTCGACCAAAATGGTGCATATTTGGTTCATTATAGTTCATTATATATATAAAAAAAGATAAGTAGAAATTTAATTAGAAATACAAAAAGGCTTTTTCGACTACCTTATAAAAAACAATTTTACACGAAACGTCGACTGTTTGAAAAAATAAAATAATTATATTTTTTTTATGTTGGTTTCCAATTTTAAGAATAATAGTAAAATTTAATACTGAGTATACAGTTAGTTCCAGATATAGCTAGGTCTATAAAGAAAACTCTCGAGAAATTTTCTAAATTTCCGATACGACAATACAATAGAATCTGAGAGTACGCGGGTATAGTTTTGTAAAAAAGGTTTCGTTAAAGTTTCAGTTACGGCCGAACCTGTTTGGTTGCCATTTCAGCAAAATATGAAAATAATACCTGTATTTCCGTAAGTTACATGAATTTTCAAAATGCCTCTCGAATAGTTTAACTTTAAAAATATTAGGTTGTCAAAAAAGTCTTTCGGTATTTTTGCGTTATTTTTATTGAATTTTTTTTAAGTTTTCAATTGTTCATAAAATTTTTTTGATAACTCATGCCCAACTCTTAACCGATGCTACTGCTGCTACTATGCCTCTCTTTCGACCAATTCAGCGATTTTATCGCAATTTTCGACGACAGGCCTTCCGAAGCGTGGTACACCAGAACGAAAACGTTGAAGCCATCGTTGTGCGGTGCAAATGGAAACTGTATCGGTTCCATAAACTGCACAAATTTTATTGGCGGCTTGAGATGCATTTTTGCCTTTATCGTAGTAGTACTGTGAAAAATGCCGCATTTTCTCTTTATTTTGCTACATGTTTGCGACGCTATAACTCACGAACGACTTAAAAGAAACGACAATCAATCAAACACATGTTAGTGCGTGAAAATGAGCTTTCCAAAAAGGTATAGCATGACCCGCTGCGACGAATAAAACTAGAACTACGCGCTCTCAGCGAAAATACGCAATTAGCGAAAATACCGCAAGACTTTTTTGACAACCTAATAAAAACAAAAACGATTTTATTTTATTTCTACACTAGCATACCCCCTTAAAGACGCATGTTTAAAACAAGAAAATTATAATTTCATTCGGTTTTTTTTTGCTATTTCTTTGCACTCACAACTAGCCATGCGTAGTGAACATATTTGTCGATCCAAAGGATATAATTTGAGATTCATTGGACAAGCCAGCGTCAGCGAGATACGAATACTGTACAATACGGAACCATTGGGAAAGATGCGTATATAAACATTCGGCATGATTATGTTGTGGAAATGACCCTCTTTTTCGTTTGAGAAGAACAAATCGGGCATCCATACACGATTCGCTTCGGTCAATGTTAGATACTTGAGGCGACCTGCAAAGTGATAGTAAAATGTGGTTATTTGAATGCAGAAAATATACAAAAGTGTATTATGATTAAGAAAAATTTAATGTTTTATTTCGCTACCTAAGATAGGTCAAGTCTAGTAACTGAGACCATAACAAAAAAATATATTTGCAATTAACTTTTCTGAGACATAAAAAATATTGTAAAAAGTACATACTAGTATAAGTATATCACCATGATTCGAGGAATGAAATTATCGGTAAATTGGTTTTGCAACAAGCTTTCGGATTTAAATAATTTGAAAGTGAAATTTTAAGCCCTCCGAAAGAGTATTAAAATATTTGAAAGTTTCTAAAATAGAAAGGCAGCTCAGCTCACGAATTAGCACTTCTGAAAGATACATATGCCTTTGAATATTATTAAAGCTACGGTTGAGCAAAGATTTAGTGGCGTACCACAAAACACTAAAGAGGCCTTTGGAGCAACTAGTCTAAGTTATGCTAGTCTCAAAGCGAAGTAAGACGTTATGAGAAGTGTCTTCCTAATATAACATTGCGCTTTGATCAAGCTGGATAGAAAGCTCTCATGGAAGCCAAACAGCATGGAGAGATTGAACAAGGCATTGGTCGCCTGATATTGTTGTAGAGCAGCAATTGCGAAGAAGTGGGTCTTCGCAGAAAATATGTTATTCTGGCTTTATGAAACCGTAGTTAAGTTAATAATATTTTATGTTGTGAAGAACATTCAAAAAAAAAAGCAATATCTTGGCAGTTGGAGGGTGTTCAAAGAGCGGCCCTCATGGGAATTTATAATACACTAAGGACAACACCGAAAATCTCTAGACATCGCTGGTAGGTCCTATTCGACTTAGGAAAGCTGGGTATACGAGAAGCTCGGCGCAAAGAGACACGCAAATTATCAACTTATTCGATTATTTTCCTTAAAATCTATATCGCTGTCTTACTGAAGTTTTTCCTGACTTTTTTCTCAAACACCTCTTAAGTTAAGAGGATGAGCAGGAGGTGAAATCTGTTGTCAGGAGATCGCAATGAACTTTTCAGGCGATTGGAAACGAGTTGGTTTTATGATTTCCTCTAGTGTCTTAGCGCTGCACCAATGAACTTCTAGTGAGCCAAGCGAGTACTGCTCAAATTCCACAACTTGTGCGACTGCGAGTTCCTTTTAGCCCAACGTTAACCGTAAGTCTTTCTTCATACTGTTTGTATTTAGCAAAATGTTCTGACTAGATACTATCAATATAGTATGCGAAAGCTGTCTAGAAGAAGGCGAGGTACAAAAGCTCGTCACTTTCTCCTCTTTCACCGACTTTCACTAGACTTATATGGATATATTTTGGTAGACACACCTTTAGAAGGTRGCTGCAGTTGATAATTATCATTATKATTATAATAATCGCCTTAACAAGTTTATGGTGAGCTCAAAACACTTCKTTGATCTATGAGCTGATGTACTTGAAAGATTTTTCGGACAACATAAGGGCAGATATGTAGCTGCCCAAGTGRGATGAATCAACCYTATRAACTAACCTRATCTAACCTTTAGCAAGCTTTTCGRAGAGAAGAATACATGAATATATAAMTTAACTAAATTATTTTGCAWATGTGCTCTCATTGCGACTGTGATCCAATAAAATGAATTTTGGATCCTATACTGATTTAATATAAATTTTGAATTGAATTAAACATGAAATATTCATGTGTAAGAGTTGAGAACATTGCTTTAACTATGATCATAACTTTAATATGAAAAATTAATAATACTGTCTTCTTTACTTATTTTCTTTTAATACAAATTTTAATTGTTTTTTGTTTTTAATCTCAGTTCCACAATTCCTTAAAGGCATATGCTCACCTAAAATGCAGAATAACGTAAAATCACTTTTCATAGGTTTCTAGGCGAAGTATAACAGAAAGCACTCATATTGAAAAAAATTTGAGTTTTGGTTATATATTGATTATACATTGGTTATAAATTGGTTATATATTGGTTATAAATTGGTTATAAATTGATTATATATGGGTTATATATTGGTTATAAATTGGTTATACATTGGTTATAAATTGGGTATATCTTACAGCGGCAGCTGATAATGTTATGCTACGTATGTGTAATATGATGCAGTGAATCGTAAACAATAAAAAACAGARYTTCGATTTTTTAATGTTACGTTGTTCCACATTTTAGGTGACTMTATGTATGCAGTTCTTTGCAACTAAGTGTCTGTATAATTAAAATCATATTCCTTACTATTCAAATACGATAAATGTAAGCGTTTATTTCCAATTTACCTTGTATGTCATCGAATTTCAGCCGCTCATCGGTCCATTGCTCGCGGAAGGTCAGTTGCACGCTGTATTCCTATACACGCACGCACACACACACAAAATTGTCGATTAGTCAAATTCATAAACAAAAGAGAACTTACAATTTTACAAGCAAATGTGATTAYTCAAGCCTATGATTTTCGATAATGATTATGTAACACTAAACTACAATGGATTTTGCTAATTCTCTAATGCGCTCTTCGATTTGGTTGGTGGCCTGATTGATTAGCGAGTAAATAGTGGAATGGGTAAATTGCAATTTTGCATCGTCAATTTATTTCGATTTTTTGTTTTTGGTTTTGCAATGYAACTAAATGGGTTCTACGAATTTTGAGAATTTTTCTTTTTTACCAGGTTTTGCATAGGACGAAATTTAGCAATATAGTAAGTGTTTTTGATAAAGCAACTCGTATGCGAATGACGGTGTTGTTGGTGTGATATGGGTCGCGCAATTCTTTGATAATTTTATGAAAAAAAAAAACACAAATTGGTGGCTTTTGCTCGGGTATGTTATCGATATGTGCCGTTAAGCGTGGTTTTATCGAATTTCATAATTTATTTGAGGTTGGGTTCATGGATTTGGTCTGATTCGGATTTTCTCTTCTGCAGCGGTTAAGATGAGTTGGTGTAAGAAATTGCTTCGCAAAAATAACAGTTCATTTAAGCATACATAGCATGTGTCAAGCAAGAAAAGTTTAAGTCAAGCAGACAAGCTAGTTAAATGCAACATCAAAAGCGCTAGCGATAAACAATTTGTTCGGTTAGTACAGTTATAATGGTAAGATTGGTAAGCAACATGCAGCAGCGGTAATGCAGTGGCATTCAAATATTTCCGTCACATTCACCRGACGCACACATGCATTCATTATATAAGTATTGTAGTTGGTAATCAGTTATTAAATACATACATACATATACTAAGCATTTATATAAAAGTATATTTATTATATTTTAGCAAGAATAGCGTTAAAAACATCAAAAGTTGCATGGCATTGAATATATTGTAAGCAGTAGGCAGGCAGAAATAAACCGTTAATAAATATATGTAAGCCATAAAATAATCGTTATAATTCAATAGAAGCTTAATTCATAAGTGGTAGAAATATAAGTAAATTTTTAACATTTCTGTTATTAAATAAAGTGAAAAAAATTTTATAAAATTATTAGCTTAAAATACGTGGCAGCATTTAATTAAAGTTAAATGTATTTTCACATTTTTATTTTTATTGTAGTAAATATTTTTACACTTCAAAACTTTATTACAATTGCGCAGCTCCAATATCCATTAAATTTCTCCCATAGTCCCGCTAATGTTTCTAGCTCAAATTAATCCAAGCTAAATATTTGTAATAAAATTTTCGTTAACCAATTAATTGTATTTATAAAATATRTTTGTAATTTTGCGTAACTTTTCATCTCATCTTCCTTAACAATCTGTTTAATTAAAGTAATAAAGACTCTTCGAGCTAGCATATTAGTGCTGTCTTCGATTCGCCAAGCGTTACTCTCTAGAGAATCGAACAAAGCATACCAGATATTCAAAACAAAAAAGGACGGCGCTTGTGGTGCAACCCTGCACTGACGCATGCGCAATAGTGTGATAGTGGAGTTAGCAACCAACCAAAACACCACACTCCACCCCCAAAAGTTCAAAGTTATTCATTATTTCTTGTGAGCCACAAAACTCATAATCGATCCACAAGAAGTAAGTATAGAGTTYCCCCCAAAAATTCGACTCTGGATCCTCCCCTGAATTAGGTTAATACTTCCCTGATTATACATAATGATTTTTGGTTTCCTTATGCTGAATATGTAGGTCAATGTGTGAGTTATATATAGTGTATGTATATATAAAATTCCTTGGATTCCGATCAGATTTACTCCGAAATAACGTTTCCAGCTGCGTCGGTAATCGAACAATCATGAATCGTTTTCGCACCACTTTTACGCTATTGCAGAACGAAGATGTTATTGCTGTTGTGRAGCAGAGTATCGAAGAAGAMTAGCAGGAGGCCAACGCTTGCAACAATTAGAGCAGTGTCTATCCACTTTACAGAATATATGGCGAAAGAAGTTCAGTTTGCGTGCTAACCAAATTCAACTCGTGTAAGAATTGAAGCCGRACGATCATCAAGCGCGTCGCACGTTCAGCATATGGACGCAAAACAAGATGGCCTCSGATTCCGGCTTTCACAAACAAATTTTGCTGAGCAATAAAGCTCACTTTTGTTTAAAAGGCTACGTTAATAAATAAAATTTCTTCAAAAAYTATYCTKGCCATAATGTTACAGTCAATGGGGAAYGTTATAGAGTTACGATTAATAATTTGTRCATGCCTGCATTAGTAGATATTGATGTGAACGACCTTCTGTTCCATACTGTGGACGGCGTTACCTGTCATAAGTAAAACCAACGAAGCAATYAATTTATTGAACAAAACTTTTAGTGAGCGCATTAAYTCGCGTCGTGGACCTGTGGTGTGGCCTTCGCTATCGTGCGACTTAATACCGCTACACTATCAATGTGGGGTCGCTTGTCTATGCAGATAAACTCGAGACGATGAAGGCGTTGAAAAAGAATATACGCGTTATTGTTCACATACCTTCCAATTGCAGCAATCGATCGAAAATAGGACGTCTCGGTTGGAATTTATTCGAGCCTGCTGCGTTGGTCACTTATCAAATAAATTGTCTAAAAATTTTTATTCTAACTAAATTTCGTGTACAGAATCGTTACGGTGATTCAGTGGTTCAAAGGTGGTCGAGGGATCGTTGAAGACATGCTTCGATCTGTACGACCTTCGACCTCTTCAACTGCTGAAAGTATTAATATATGGTGCTTAAAAACCTTCAGGCGAGTATTAGAGCGGTGACAAATGATTTTGGTGGATATTTTGTGTATGAAACGCGTTCTTGCTCTACTCGTCTCGATAAAACTGAATTTTTTTCAAAMAGATTACCGTAAACATGTTTCTCTGGACATGCTTGACCGTGCGAACTCCGATCGTACATTCATGGAGAACATTATAAGTGCTGACGAGACATCGGTTTATGGCATGCAAACAAGTCYACAATTATCGGAATGGAACCTATTTTCCGTTGATCGCAGAGATGAAACCAAATTCATTGAAAGAGCTTTCGGCAACTGGGAAAATTGCGTGCATTAGTGTATTACATCTGGTGGGGATGACTTTCAAAGGCAAAAAAAAWAATAATTATTGATGTATAATTAAATATTTTGCGTTTGATTTGCAATTTCCGGGTACTTTTTTGTAACAATGTATTTTTCAATAGTCTCGCCCTCGCCACTCAATAGTCCCATCCCAAATTCTAGTTATTAGACATCATTATTATCGCGCAAATTTYACTTTACTTTTGTTTCCATTTTCCTTTAAACACTTTTGTAGCAAAATTTTCTTGGAAAAATGTTTCGTTGCTGCGGTAAGCATCCTTATACAGTTTAGTTTTATCAATGTGATCAGTAATAAATTGCATTCACGGTAATTGTCTAACGAGACCATATTTTACGCTTTTTCTCGGATTCATATATCAATTAATAAGATATTTCGATTGAAATGTGACAACAAAATTTGTTTACGAAGAATTTTAAGAATTAATAAATTGAATAAAATTTAAAAATAATTATGATTACTTTAATGATTAATCAGAAATGCACAATATAAAACATATATACTATGTATTGGATTACAAAGTAGAAATATATGCATTCACATGCAACAGTTATAAGAACAGAGTTTCCACCTAATAAAAAAGCCAAAATAGTACRTTGAAATAGCTGTAAGGGAAGTTTAGACGTTAATAAAACCATGAAAAGAATATTTTTTAACGCTGTTTTGTATAATTATATAATAATGAACAACAAACGAAGCAATTAACCGTAACTAAATTGAAAAAATGAAATGAATACTAATTGAACGAGTTGAACTAAATTTAAAAAAGAACACTTTAAAGACTGCTGGAAGCCTGGCATGTGAAAAAGCAGTACGAGTACACTTTCGAAGTACAGAAATCGTATATGAAATTGCAAGTATTTTTTTTTTTTTTTTTTTAAAGAAAATTACTCACTTTTTGGTATGCTAGTTACTTTTTTCTTATATGCGAAATATTATAAAAATTGTTCAATTTTTAATTTTAATTTTTAAAATTAAACGCTATTAATGTGAATATTTTAGTATCATTAATAATTAATTAGCGCTACATATTTGTACAAAACTAACTACGGACTGCACGCACTCGCGGTTTAAAGCACAGTCATCGTTGAAATTTGCATGTATGTGTTGTAAAAGGACTTTTTAGCAGAAAATATTAACTCATTGCTAGTGTAAACTCACTGTAAAGCAGCTGGCAACCCCGTTTGCTAATGCGCCGTTCGCAATTACACTCAAATAACAAAATATTTCACTTGAAACTCAAASAAATTTACAAACATTTCGCATGAAAACAGATTTCTAAATCAAAAAAAGAAAGAAAACAGAAAAAAATTAAAACTTGATGATTTCTGTGCGCCTAACTGTAGTTTGTTTAAGCTAAATATTCTACATAGTGTTACCATATTGTAATAATATTATCCATTGCTATCACTTTGCGCATAACTGTATATATAAGCCTTTGGGTTTTTGTTAATATTAAGCTTAAAATGTAACTTACTTTTTACAGTGAAATTATAAACATATTTACAAGCTTTGTGTCTTGTCTTGTAGGCTTGTATATATTGCACATAACTGTACTGTGAGTAAATASAATTGTGTAGTTTACTTTCGCGGCGTTCAACAACACTGTTTGGTGCTTAAYAAATCTGTGTGTGCTTAGGCTAAATTTTATTCATTTCAACACTGATTTTGGCACCAATGCACATTTTAATAAAAAACGTATTTATTTCTGTCATATTGCTATACACTTTATTGTTGTTATTATTTATTTTTGCGTTATTAGCTTGACTGGCGATTCGTTAAAATTAAGCGGTAAATGTGTGACTGAGAAAATGTCGAAATRGCGGTTTTGTACAGAGTGTACTTGAAATAGACATGAAAAGGATTTAAAAAAAATCATGAAATGATATGCGTTTGATGGCTTGCAAAGCAGTATTAAAACAAAAAAATAGTACATTATCGTAGAAAATGGTTAAAAATGATGCTGGAAACTGCTTTTTACTTCATTCCTTTCATTTAATAATTTATCTGGAAAATATTTTTTCCCTCAGATCGCTCAGGAAAGAAAATTTTCTTTTAAGAATTTTTTAATTTGTTAGCTCCCATGCGTAATACGTCAAGATTGAAAAACGCAGAAAATTTAATTTAAAAACTTTACTTTCGAATACCCTCTAAAGATTCTGGTTATTTTTTGATAACTGCTAAAAACCTAAAACTCCTTTGAAAAAAAATTAAATGAAATTTGTTTTAAAATATTTCATTAGTGTCTAAATAATGTTAGGTTTTATAGTCTTCTTTCACTATTCCTTGCATAATAATTTTATACAAAATCGAGACATTTAAATCAGTAAAATCAAAACAACTCGCTTATCATAGGCTATGGATTAACCTTTTCACATAATTTCGTTTATAACCGGTGATCCAACTAGAGTTATTCTCTTAATAGCCTTTTTTTGACAGTTCACGCGTAAGTCGTGTCAAACTGTCATGATACTTTTGTTCAGTATTGTTTGACATTTCATCATGGAAAGACTAATGCCAGAAAAATATTTACAAACTTCGTTACGAAAATTCACGTTCTGTAAAAAATGTGTTTTGCGCGATTCGCGTTGACTTATGGTCAACAAGATCAGCCCACTGAGCTTACTATTGGCAAAACCATTACCCATCTTGAGACCCAGCATTCATTATGGGATAAAATTCGACCAAATCGACGATGTGCAGTTAACAGTGAAGAAAAGAAAGAAGTGGAGAGCTGATTCGGCGCCGTTCATAGCAACTCGGACTGACATATAGTACGATTTTGCATATTTTACGTCAAGATCTTCAATTAAAAGCGTATAAAATATAGCTTGTGAAAGAACTTAAGAAACTAGATTTTCCTAAGTGACATTGCTTCGCTTTATAGGCCTTTGTAAAGCTCCAAGAAGGTCCCACGTTTTCGTGCCAAATTTTGTTCAGCGCTGAGGCTCATTTCTGGCTCATATRGATATGTAAACAAGCATAATTGTCGCATATGGGACGAAGAGCAACCTGAAAAAATTCAAAAGCTGCCATTTCATCCCGAACAAATCACGTTTTGGTGAGYTTTGTGGCCTGATGAAATATCAGATGACCCGTGAAAGGCCCGTGATCTTGGCGATATTTGGTTTAACAAGACGGCGCCACTTTCTACACATCGCGTCAACCAATGAATTTATTGAAAGAACACTTCGGGGAGTAGCAGATCACGTTTTGTKCCGGTCGATTKGCCACCAAGGTYGTATTATATTACACCATTAGACTTTTTCAGAAGATACATATGTAAAGTTTAAAGTCAATGCGGACAATTCGGTTTCGATTCAGGCCTTAGAGTAAAACATCAAGCGGGCGATTTGCCAGTTAGCAGTCGAAATGCTCGAACGAACAGTATACCCCCGATTTGGCAATTAAGGAGATAAAAAGCGAAGAAGGTCCTGAAATCCATACCGGAAACTATTCCGATTCCTATTCCGGAACGCGATTACTTTGAAGGGAACAAAATTGATTTGGAAGAATAAATAGAAAATTTATATTTTACATATTTATTTTTTTTAGAAACAATTTCATCTTACTTTTTGAACACAGTAGTATGTATGCGTAGGTATCAGGGATTACATGGGTTTACGGGTTTCAAAAAATCGATTCTTTTATTGTCTTTTTAAATTCTACAAAASATCTCTAGAATACTGTGCTACATTTTGATTTTACATTTTGATCTGGGTAATAGTTTCGGAGGTACAGCCTTTAGAAAATGTGTGCTCGAGACCAGCTATTCGTCTTTAAACGCGTTTTTTACGAAACTGTGTTTTTGAAGTCGGTTGGGAAGATTTCTGCAGAAATACTCAACCAATTTTAGGCAGGTCTTTGAGATACAGTTTTCAAAGACTTGGACGAAGGAGTTTCTTTAAATTACAACTATTTAAAAAAAAAAAATTTCTCGAAATTTTCACTGAAATTTGTATTTTTTTTTTTGAAAAATTGTCTTCCCAAAATTCAATTTTTGGTTATTTTTCCTTCGTCCAAGTKCTAAGTTAAGTTGTTAACTAAAAAGCGTTTTTTCACTTTAGATGATCCTGTAAGSAGTTRTCCTGCCAACTSAGRCACATCTTTTTCCGAGGGGKCTCCGGAAATGGCGTCGCAATGGCCGAGATATTGCTTTCGAAAAATTTCAGAACTCCATTTTTAATAGTGTATATTTGTAACAATAAAAATTTGTGATGGAATTTTTAATTTTTTATATGAAAAAAAGATTTYTGAAAAAAGACGGATATTTATCCGAGGATAAACCATGTAACCCCTTAAGAATGAAAGATATCGACAACTATATCTAGTCACAAAACAAAGGTCTGAGGAAATCAGAAATTATACTATTTTGAGGGTTCCTTTCATTATGTTGCACAGWTCCTTAACCTTCCTTCCTTTATATACTTTTCTGTTGTAGTAAATAATTAATTGGAAACATAAAATAACAATAATRGTTTCTAACCCTGGGTGTGCTTTGTTAGACGATTCGACTAACAATCTTAATGTTTTGCAAACAGGGGCAAAATAACGAAGCACGTCCAGAGTTAAAGTRCAGTAGCCAAAATTATGAATATAAATTTGATTCGTTTTCAGCTGAAAACAGCTGTAAATTTCCTTACAATCAAAAATTATATTTAACCAAAACTAATACTTGAATTCAAATTTGAAATAAGAAAATTTTATGGAAATATTTTGAAAATGCTACAATGAAATGAAATTTAAATAAGATGCACACACGATTTCGCAATGAGAGAAACGAACAAATCATATATGGACTTTATGACACAATCAGGCACAGTACTTAAAGAAAAATCATATGTTTATAAATATAGATGTATGATATGCAATGGAATAATAGTTGATAGACATAGTTAGGCGGTTAAAGTTGTTGTTAAATATCAATTGACTTGTTCTTTAATTACAATTTACAGCTTTACGTGTAGTCGGAAAACAAGCGTAGACATTAAAATATATTAGTACAGTGGGGAATTTATGTCACTGGTGTGGCGATATAGAGAAATAGAGAAATTATAAATGTGAGGTTAGTAATGGAAATTATGATGCTGTTGTGAACAAAAGYCTTTACTTAATCCATGAAAAATACACAACTGAATTTTTACATTCAATATTTGTTTCTTGTATAATACATTGATATTGTTCATTAGATATACATACATGTATTTACTTAGACTTCATTAACATGACTATTACGTTTAGTTCGTAGTGGAAAGAACCGAAAACGGAAATATTTATTTATAAAATCATAGTTTATTTAACACAAAAGCTATTTGGTTTTTGTTGTTATTGTAATTTACAAAGAGAAATCGGTGGTAATTGTTGTTATTACAAGTGGTGATTTGGTGGTGAGAAAGTGAAAGCTCAAGTGGCCGCGTAATCGAGTTATTGCGAAAGCTTTCGGGGTTTAAGCGTGCCGCAAATTGAACACTGCACGCATGGAGAACGCTGAAGACAGGGGTGATTGTAGGTAAATGGACCGGCAGCTGTGTGGGTGGTTTATAGTACAGTTGAGAGTCTTGAGTTTGAGTTTTGCGTTTAGCTGGTGTTAAGGTTGAACCGTTCGAATCGAAAAGCTGTTTTAAATATAGATAGCGGTATTTTATACACAGCGTTGTTGTATATTTGTTTGATTTCTTTGATTTTTTTTTTTTTTTTTTTTTTTTTTTTTGGTTTTTTTTTATTTTTTTTTTTTTTTTTTTTTTTGCTTAAAATGTGGTGACCAAAAGACCCTAATTGTAGTGGTCTGGTTTTTAAAACGTATTTTGCATTATTTTACAAGAAATTTTGGTATAAAGAACATGTGAATCTATAAAGCTAAGCAGCAACTTCTGTGTGTGGCAAGTTTTTTGTTCGAATGCGCACTTTTTATAAAAGGTGTTTTTGTTAAAAAAAAAAAAGTATTGAAATAATTATAGATAAAGTTTTTTCGCTAGGCATCATTGAGTAGCTTTTAGACGAGCGATTATAGCGACTTAATTTAATATATATARTACTAAGCAAATATATGCGTATCAATCATTCAGAAAAACTACGGTGTAAACGGGAAGTTTTTCGAAAAATATTAGTTTATTGAACTGTTAATTTCGAGAAAATTATTATTCAACTTATTGCCCATCCGAAGCTAAACGATTCTTGCAACTTCCTGGCAATTCGAGGATTCTATCTCAAAAGCAATGCGAAGGCCAAGCATGAATCAGACAGTTTTTTTGATACCCACTGCTAATAGAAACCGCATTCCAGTAAAGCCGTTCTGCAACGACCGGAACGCCTAATAGTTAGAAGGAGTAAAATCGGGGCAAAACTTCTCAGCYGCTATTTACACATAGTTTTAAAACGTCTGCCAACATGAGACCAAAATTTATTAATACCAGCTGTTTAAAAAACCACTCAATGATATTTCAATATTTGTTATGTAATTGTATACATTAATGGTCTAGTCATTATAAATTTTGGTGTTTCTGTAAACTGTTTTATATTAATTTGCTCACTGTTTAAAGGCTGGAAAACTCACCATTTTGTAATCGTCGATTTTTGAGATTGACCGTAGGAACATGTTGACATAGACAAGAGTAGGCGCATTTTCTAGAATTTCACATTTCGATTTTGACTATTTAGTACAGGTTCTTTGATTGATGKACGAGTGAAAAAAAGATGTTTAGTGGTGCAAACAAATTAAAATTAATAAGARAAGACATAAATAGTAGAAATTTAAGTATAGAAATAAAAGTTTAAAAATTAAAAGCTAAAATTCAGAATGTAAAAAACAAAGTGTAAAAACTAAAATATAGAAATTAGAGTTATGAAAAAAATATATAAATTAAACAAAATTTTTCATGCCTTGTGCAAGGTCGATACACCGCTATTTTTTGCAAACAAATGAAACATTTTATAGGTATAAAACAAAATTATAATTAACCCCGAAAAAGAATTATAAATAAATTTGTATTAACCCTTTTTGTAACCAAATATACCATATAAGWTAAGTTTTCAATGAAAATTTTAAATAAGGCTTAAATATTTCCGGCTATATGCGTTACATAAACTATATTAATGCGAAATAACTATTTTCAATGATAAAATCAAATAACGTACACTAATTCGCTGAAGCATTTGTGTAGGCGCAATTGTTTCAGGCTGCCCCATTTCCGATTTAAAATACAAATTTCAGTAGAATTTTCCTTTGTTTGTGTTTTTTTTTCTTCAAAAAAATTTTAACTATATTATGTTTGGTAATATTATATAGTCAGAATATTTTMTTTTTGTTGTTTTCTTCGGTATGCTTAAGTCTACGTTATAACTCAATTAGAGCTTTGAACAATTTTAACCTWAAATTAAACTTCCAGCAACCTAAATTATAGTTTGAATTTATTTATCGCTAAGAATTATTGATGGTACTAACTCACTTATGACTAACCTATATGTAAGCATATACAGTACATACCATAAATATTCGTACTAGTTTCGCTTAAATATAAATTTGTTTTTTTTTTTTTTTTTTTTGAATTTTTTAAACATAATATAATATTGATGGCATTGTGTACGAAATGAAAGTGAATGAAATAATTGAGAATTCTTATTTGATTGTGGGCATGTTATTAGTAGGTACATATATTTTGAAAAATGTCTGTATGGATCTCATTAGAAGTAATCATATTGCAGTTAAAAAATATATATGCATTGAAAAAACTTGTGGTGCGTTGAAATTAAAGACTTAAACAAAGAAAAAAAAAAAAAATTAATTAATATTATAACGGTTTTTGGGCAGGAAAGTTTTATCAAATAACGGTTATTCATTGCCGTTTTTATATATTTTTTTTTAATTTCTTCGCTTGCTTTACGTCACATTTGGATTTGCGCAGCAGTTTTGAGCTAATTTCATACGAAAATTCATTATATTTTAAAGTGCAAATCATGAAATTAACGAAAAATATTAATAAAATAAAAACTATACAAAACTAAATAAATGTCCTTAAACAAAGGCACTCTTATTGCTACACAAATAATTGACAAAATTAAAACTAACGACAAGTGTTAGTGTGTAGTATCAATGGTTATATATTTATGTGTGTGTAATTAGTATCAACTATTTTCGAATTATGCGACTTTCTCAAACAAAAACGGTTTAACGACGTCTAAAGCATACAAAAATTTCGAAATTAATGTTTACATAATTAATTTTATAGCGTTTATTGACATATTTTTCAAAAAAAATACATATATACACTATATAATTTGGGATGGAAAGTAACGGAAATCTAAAATAAGAAAAAATTTTTGAAAACAAATTAGTGTAATTTATGTAAAGAATTTATAACTAAACATTGATATTTCAACAATTATCCCATTGCACACAAGTAAATATGTATGTATGTATGTAAGTAGTACGTATTCGTTGACTTTACTTATTTTTGCAGTTTTTACGCTTTTTTCTTTCAAGTAATTACACCGCTGTTAATTACCATTTTGAGCGTAAATTTTCTACATATTTTATTAACACAATAATGGAAAATCAAAAAAATAAAAATAATAATAATAATAATAGATATATATATATATGTATAAACGTTAGCGAAATTTATTTTTAATACAGGTTTAGTTGCAGAGCGAGAGAGAGAGAGATAGTTGTTCTTAGTTAGAAATAGTTAGATATGTAGAGAGAGTAAAGGAGATCCAAAAGACATTTTACAATAATATTAGTTAAATTTTATTATTTATGAATAATATAAACTTTACAAGAAAATAAACAAAATTATTATTTTACAATGTTTGGAATTAAACAAAAACAACTAAAAGAAAATATGTAAAACTATATGCTAGACATTTAACTAAATATGCATTTAGGCATTGAAAGGAACAATAAACGAACTGAAATTGTTTGTGTGATAAAGGAAAATAATAAAAAGCTGAATTTTAATTT